GTAGATTGATACCAATCTATTATTTTGAGGTCCAGATATCTTATCGTTTTCATCATTTCCCAAAGAAGACGAAGAAGACGGTTCAAGGACATGGACCGAGTTATATTGGAACTGAAGCTTTGGACACTCACTTGTTTCCATTGTCAGAGTAACGTGGTGCTTTTTCCTGTTTGCCGGGACTGTTTCAGTCTCGCTACATGCCTGTTATTATATCCGTGCTTGGCGCACGAACTGTGACCTGTTAGTCCGCTGCTGACTATCCGTGAGATTGACTGCTGGGGAGGGGGGGGGCTCGTGTGACGTTTGTCCACTTCGCGGCTGTCTTAATAGTTGGCAAGTCAGTGGGCTTACTGACCTGTCCCTCATTCACCGACGGACTACCGCTACCGCGCACACGAGGTTGACATGAACTCATGCGGGCAGGAACAATTGATTATTCCGTCGGTGGACGAGGGACAGGCCAGTAAGCGCACTGACTTGCCAACGATTACGACAGCCGCAAAGGGAAAAAAGGTCACACGAGCCCCCTAGCGGTCAATCTCACGGACATTTAACAGCGAACAAACAGGTCAAAGGTCGTGCGCCGAACACGGATATAATACAAGGCGTGCAGCGAGGCTGCAACAGTCCCGATAAACAAGAACAACCACTACGTTACTCTGACGATGGAAGCAAGCGAGTGTCCGAAACGTCAGTCCCAATATAATTCGGTCCATGTCCTTGAACCTTCTTCTTCGTCTTCTTTGGGGGATGATGAAAACGACAACCTGTTATACGTAACACCAGGAAAACCCCCAGAATTCTTTCTTTTGGCACCGGTGATAGTAGGGGTTATACGGGTGGGGAGCAGGAGAATAATTAAAAAATGGATAAAGGAGACGAAAAATTGTAGATAAAATCGGTACAAAAAGCTAATATATGTCGCAACGAAAAAGTGCGCGATAATTTGAAAATCCACAAAAAGCAACTCTCGACAAATCAGGGTTAGCTTAGTGAACCGCTTATGAGTAAAGCAGGGCAGGTCAGAAGCCAATGAGAAATACAACGAATAAGAAGCATACATAAATACATATATCATACAAAGTAAAATTAGAGATACATTTCGCCGGAAATTACTCAAATTAATCTGTAATAAGCCGACAGAATATATCTACCACTTGGACCCAGATGGATTTATCTTGAATATTTCGGATATTAAATTCAACAAGTTGCAAAAAGAGGCTATGTCATTAGGACTTGATTTCTTATGCGCAGATAAGGACGGAATCCGAAACATCAAGCAAATGAAACTTTTGTTCCAGCGATCGCATCCTCTTCTTCCTCTGACTTGATTTCTGATTGCCTAACACACGTATTAACCGAGTAGACGTTGAAGCCCAATATGAGGATTTGTACGCTTAACTTTTTGACTTAAAACCCAGTTCGATTGATGACCAGGGTTGGATGAAAGCAAAATTTTTGGACATCGCATATCAGTACCGTAGAGCTCCAATAACAAAATGCTCTCCTATCATTAAAGAACATATAATTGCTCTTTCTGCGTTGAAGCACCACAAAGAAATAGTTATTTCTAAACCGGAAAAGGGGCATGGTGTGGTGATTCTCAATCGCAGGGATAACGTTAAGAAAATGGAAGCCATCTTAAATGATTTCAGTAAATTTCGCCTAGAAGCCCAAGGCAAAGAGGAAATTAATGCACTGGAAGACCCCGCTTGGAAAATCATCAAGCTTCTGTCGGACAGTAATCTTTCTATACCAAAACTGCTTTATCCCTAAAACCTAGAGGTTTCTATATCCCACGGATTACCTAAAACTCATAAAAAGGATATCTCCTTACGACCCATTCTTTCCATGTATAACTCGCCCCTTCACAGACTAGCGCAGTGGCTCGTCAAGGAAGTAGAGCCAATTCGCAATAGGTTTTCTACTTATACATTAAAAAACAGTTTTCACTTTATCGACGAAATAAAACACCATTATATATAATCGATTTTTACCGCACTTTCCAACTTTTGTCGAGTTGGGGAAGATGGGGACTGGGCCGGAAAAATGGTGCCTGAAACCTTGCAAAATGCACGCTCCTTTGAGCATATAATACAGTGGAGTCTCAGTTAACGAGATTAATCCGGTCCGTCAGCGAGCTTGTAATGTAAAACGCTCGTCGTGCGAAAAATAGCCAATCAAAGTGCACCAGTTCACCGATTGGCTACAGATGACCGAAAACCCATGCCCTGGGAGCAAGACTCAAAAGCGGACCAAGCACACATAAACTCGTCAACTGAGCGGAAGCTCGTCAATCGAAACAAGTTTTATGCGAGTGGCTCGCTCGTTACCCGAAATGCTTGAAGATGGGCCTGCTTTCCATCCCAGGATCTTCCACTATATTTGTCAGTTAGAAGCAGCCTTGAAATTCGTAGCAGGCACAATTTATAGA